TTAAAATGACAATATATCTTCTTTGAAAATTAACTTATAATCCTGTCATGTCATCAATCATAAAATTACAATCAAACTGAGTTCATGGCACGAGTCCTGTATTTACAAGGTAAAACATAAAACAGTTYCTTGATATTCATAAAAATCATTTTTATAACGGTATCTAAAACGCTAAAAGCTTTTTGAAATCATTCTAAAATTGATATTGTCAACATTGTCTGACGAGGATAAAACCTTAATCACTTTCATAATCATCAAAGGGGAAGCGCCTGCTCAATCTACGCACTTGGATTATCATTGAATTGATTGATAAAACTTACTAAACTCTACAACAACATGGCTGACCAGTATTACCCAGTAATCCTTTACGAGCTCAGTAATTCCATCTYGACTGAAAAACACAAAGCACACGAACTTTCTTGGCTTCAGTTTGGTGCGCATGACAATCTTAGTTATCAAAGTTAAGAACTAGGTATTTTGTGATCGCTAGGCATTACTGGGTAATACAAATGGCGGTCAGTCTTATATGGAGAAGTGTTCAATGGACGTCATCATTGCTGTCGGCTTTGTTTTTGTAGTCRTACTTTGGATGTCCATCAACATGCACCACAAACCCGTTAATCAGGCATTGGAACAACCATTCTAACCCCACAATTGGAATACCTAGTAGCTCACAGGTATATTGTAAACTTTGAGGGAGACTGGTGTCCTCTGAAATAACCACATTACAAACCTCATCGTAACTTTGCTGAGCTRCGCGGCCAGGACGATTTGGAAGTTTGGTAACTACGTGCGCACCGGCTGCCGCAATTACACTGTGCCAAGTTGCCTTGAAGRTAGCACTACCATGCACGTATATCTAGATAAAAAATGGCATGGAAGTTAACGCTGCATTTCTCGGTCTTCATTTAATCATATTTTCTCTCAACTTACATTTAATTCATCCAGTAATCGCCCGTTAGATCTTGTTTTACACTCCACCACTTCATCTGTCTCTAGGCTCCTACCAGCAGGAAGTAGGTACCTCTTATAGTCTTGAAGTCGATTTAGAGTCGCGCAGTCGTGAATCCACATGTGACTAACCATAGGAATCCCATTTGCCAGACACTGAAAGTATTTAACGGTCCTACAATACGAGTTGCTTATCAGAAAACATCGATCWGCAATAGTGTTTTGTGTTTCACTAAAGTCTCTCAAAATGACTCCACCTCCTGATTCTATGTATTGTTCTATTTGCGTACGGTCAAATTCCTGTAATTCACTTTCGCTTTCCGAGAGATTGCAGGAYCGTGTAATGAGGAAAGCAAACCCTGCGAATATTGTATCGTTCGAAGGTGTCTTCTTCCTTGGTGACCTTCTTGTTGGCTCGCTTGKTTTTTTAAGGAGTTCTCTATTCACACGTTTGRCGGGCTTCTTGGCTCTTTCTTCGGGGCTCCCTTCGCTGCTTGTACCTTGCGCATCCCTTCTCTTTCTTTTTTGATTTCGCCGCTTAGCTTTACGAGAAGATTTTGGTGTTTCTGCATCGTCTTTACCAACCAACTCACTCGAGCTTCCACTAGTATCCTTAGCGCTTGTGTCTCTTGACTTGCTTGAAGTGCTAACATTAGAGCTGCTAGACTTTAGGAGCTTGTTTGATTCAGAGTCCATAGTGCTGCCGCTGCTATTTGCTTGCAACAAAGGCTTAACTTGCTTTTCTGATAAGATTATAAACTTTTTTAAGTATCTTCTTCGCTTCTTTGATTTTTTCAGTTCTATTTCATATCCGCTGTCCTCTCCCGACGTTGAAAAACGTCCAACTATGGTACCTTGATCATAAAAACCGTCRGGATCCTGCGCAAATACCGACTGGCCGATATCAAGAGACTCACGAGCGACMAGCTGATTGGGTCTTATTTTACGTTTATCACCATCATCAAACCGGACATCGTAACATCGACCAGTGCTAAACTCTGCTATTCCGGTCACAGCTCCAGGGTAATAATACCCATCAGTCCAACGGGCAAATACCCTAGTGCCGTTAGGATRRCGAGGTGTTTGCGTKTCCGAGTTKTCTTCTGTAAYCTTTTTACTTTTCTGATTGTCCTCAGTGGCTTTGTTTCTTTTTTGTTCTTGTTCAGCTTCAAGTCGTCTTGTCTTCACTCTTGGAGAAATTCTCGGTAAATKCTCAAAAGCTACACGAGGAGGTTGYCTCACATACCCATTCCCAGTTTCTATGATTCTTTCCACGTTGAYYTTTTCTTCTATTTTTTCATCTACAACAGGATCGTCCTGTTCTTCGTACTCTACAGTGTCAATGTGTTCACCGGTATCTTCTCTTGTAGTCACAACTGWGATGATRCGTCTGACTTGCGTGGTGACAACTTTGAAAGTCTTTGTAGTCGTGGTATTTATAAAGCCCGTTTGCTCAATTGTCTCAGGTTGTTGCTCGGRCTTGTCATTGWTATCCATGAGATTACTGATTTTCTCCAAGTCACGTGACGGATGTCGTGTTTTTTGTCGCTTAGCGACCGGAGGACCCACTGCTGCATCTTGGGAAGAAAACAAGAATGGATCAGTGTTTTCWTCCTGGATACGCTTTTCTTCTCTTGGACGCTTTGCTTCCTTCCGCGCACGCGCAAATACAGACATTTCAGCTGGTCGGTTTGCTGATGGTCGTGTTGTCGGAGGRATGGGAGCGGTCGATGTTGAGGGCTCGTTGATTAGYAGAGGTGTTCCAATATGAAGTGAGTCAGGGCTATCTTGTCTTGGCATAGAGAAGGTTAATGATGGTGGACGATGGGCTGATGTGACATCTGAATCTATAAATAAAGCAATGATGTCAAATAAAATGATTGTTGTTGARCTGTAMACAMATTTAARTAGCATCCACCWGACTTSAAWATGACACAAACCTAAATTACCTGAARTAGGAGTGACTGCACTGGGTGTCTCACTAACTGGTGGTTGCCATGTGCGAATAGGGGGAGGGGTGGTACATGTGGATGCAACWAGCACTTCACCAACAGTTGGTGGCAGGGAGAAATGAAAWCCTGTCATCGATTCTGTTGATGCYTCTGATGATAGCAAAGTGTTCAACTTTRAAGTCCCTTGTCCTGGCCTTTGTGCCTGCTCAGGAATTTCCTGGACGATTTCTGTGTCTTGACGACTYAATTCTGGAGTTGTATCAGCTGTATGTTGACTTAAAGACTTATATGTCATTTCTGTGCAAACATTTGCCTGGTCTTGGGTTTTGTTCCCTTGTTGCCTTAATAAAGATGCTGAAGATGGTAATACCTGTTCTGTACTTTCACTTAYCACAATWACTKCTGGAWWTGAGGATGSTTCTGTTGAASTACTTGGACATGGAGTTCTTATGTSTTGTACTGTGGATGCTGCYGCTGGCAGCTCTCTCAAATTCAGGGGGCTGTCCTCAGGTTTTGGAAATGTTGGTGAATCGATTTGAGACTGTGTGAGATGCAAGTCAAAATCATCATCTTCTACTTGTTGTTCTGGTGAAAACGTTTCTGAAGTGCCTTGTCCTATAATAAAGTAATGGGAATCATTGGATTTCCATATTATAACATAAAACAGAATTCAGGTATTCCAGTGTGAAAAATAATTATAATAAACAGCAGATTTCAAAACTTGCACACCTTTGTGATCATTATACTTTAAGTATATTATGTCCGTGATATTGTAGAGCCTGCAACTTGCGAGACTTGTCTGCAGTTGAACTATGGCTTGTATGATAAAATATAATATATATCAYTAAGAAGACATACCTTTGTCATCACTGTCCCTCTTTTCCTGGGTGATGCATGTAGACACAYAAAACAGATCCTCAGATAATTCAGGCTGGGAACAGCCTGCATTTTTGTCATTCTTCTGTGGACTGACAAGCTTTGCYAAGCCGTGTTGCTCTTCAACTACAAGTGAAGAAGGAGAAAATGACTCTTCTTCTCCAACTTCACTTTGTGCAATAATTTGTTCTTGACRATGAACAGATGGAGATTGACTTTTRTCTAATARAAATGTGACRTGTTTTACTRTTGTTGKTTTTTCTYTGCATGTTATTGACTCRGATTTACTTGAACCCATAGCTGATTGCCATGGATGGGCTTGTTGATCCTCCTCTTCATCAACTACATCACATGAAGCAGCAGCTGAATAGCTATGATCCTCTGGAGATGTAATTGAACTTGATGATGGCTTTTTTTGTCTAGCTAGCAAGTCTTGCTGCCATTGAGGAAGACCACCAAATTCATCATCATCTGTAGTCCCATCATTTGATTTACTCACAAGGTTTTCTTGTTCTTCAGGAGTAGATGACAACGTTGTCGGCCTACAATGAAATGAATCTGGRGAAGGGTTGATTATTTCTGAGCTTTGGCCACTTGATGATGATCTTGTAGCTTGCTGTTCTGAGTGTGGCTGACTAGTCTCTTCAGGAGAAGATAACAAGGCTGTTGTCCTAGTGCGAAATGAGTTTGGCGATGGAGTGATTACATTATTGTCTGAGTAGGATGAACTTCCTGTTGTTGTCACGGTAACATACCTCCCAGCATCTTCAGTTGGTGATGATGGAAGTATCAAAGGCGCTTCACTATAYGAATCACGTGACCCATCAGCCTTTGCACACTCACCACTCAATGAACCAGAAAGCTGAAGACAGTTAAACCCYGCATAGCTTGGAGGAGTGGCCTGGGGTTCTTGGCTACCTAGCAATGGGGTAGATGTTCTTTTAAGCRCTTGTCTGTACAAGTCAAAGCTTTGACCTTTAGACAAYTGTCTGYTTTCAACAGGAGTTGATCTATCTTTTGGAGTACTCATTCTTGAATCCTCTTGTGATGATATGGCTGCATTTGAGTCTTCCTTATCGGCGAACATGTCTTGTGAACAGATTTCATCTTCTCTTTCCTCATTGTCTTCTTTCACTGTATCAAGTACAWGATGGCGTGGTGAGGGTGAAGGGTCGCTAGATAGGCTACTTGTATTWAGACTACTAGCATTGCTTGCTGGGTAGATACTAGATGAAGATGTATCAGATTTGCTTTTACCCACTAAAAACGAACACAAATACTAGTGAATATTGTATCACACTTTTTGATCGTTTCCATGTTGATACATCTATTCTAAACTAAASCTACCAACCTAAAGATGGAAGGAGGCTAATTTCTCATCATAAAATGTTCACAGGGCTGACAATCTGGTAGACTGCTTGGGGGTAAGGAYGGTGTGTGTGAAAGGGAAAGGAACAAGAAAACCTTGACTCTAAATCAGCCTACCTTTATCTCTTCCCCCTAAAAGTGTCAGTAATGCAAGATRAAAGACTTGATTGTGTAAAACTTACTTGATGAAGATGATGACGACTTTTTCTTGAATTGCGGCATACTTTCTTCGCTGCTTTCGAACCGAGACTGATACACTTCATCAGCTAATGCTGTTGAAGCTTGACCATATGTCTCTACACCGCCAACAGGTTCTGTACTTGAAGTACTTGATGAACTTGCATTGCCAGACAGTTTTATTGATGGATTTGAGTCACTGGAAAAACTTGCATCATGATCCATGGATTTATTTGAAGGYTGTTTGTCAGTGACTGGGATTAAGTCTGGTATTGAGGATGAACCAGAGTCTTCAGAATGTTCAGTGCTTTCATTACAAACGTCTGGYTCTGTCCGTCTGTCTTCTCCTCTATCGCTATCATCACCACCACCCTCCCCTCCCCCACCRCCACCAATTCCTGACGAGCTTGTTTGAGCTTGCCCTTGAGGKCCTGTCGTGTTATTATTGTTATTACTCACGTTATTTCCAGAACTAGATTGATTATTATTACTTGCACCGTTCCCGCTTAAAGCATTAATAATCTTTATATTAGTTGTCTCGTGTGTTGTTCTGTCAATCGCGGAAGGAGATGTGCAGAATTTCTTGTTCATAAATCGTAAATACAACGGATCGGCGTCCATATTCCCAGAGATCGGAGCGTCTTCAGYCTGTGAGGATTCAATCAGCAAACATGGAGTACTAAATTCATCGCCATCGGCGTAGAAGTCCATTATTTACAAGACATTTTTGAGGACATTTCATACATTTCAAATCGAACGCCAAACGATTCTACAACCCATGATGCATTGGGGACATATCGAATCGCAGTGCATTGTGGGTTGGTGTCTTCCAAAATGGCGTTTCGTCCGGCTCTTCGCAGRTTTGGTGAGTATTTCTCARAATATTGCACATTTTTAGCCTTCTGAGGCATGTATTCAGTAARATAAAAMGTMWTTATGATGTGCATTGTGTAAATTGTTAAAAATACKTGTGATTTTGCCAGACATAAAAGMCCTACCATGACTSATCCTYACACCGGTCAAATTGTACACGAGTACAATTTTAATTCAAGGAAAGACCTATTATATATCATAAGTGACTTACATCGTCGGTTTTCTTAGCACTCATGCTATCACAATGTATTATGAAATACTCCCARTATGGAAATGCTTTGTTGTCTGGGTCATGCTTTCGGTCATGCAGGTGTAATGCATGGATGACCACTTACAAAGTATCAAATTTTTCTAAAACCTGCTTTTTGATTTCTCCATTAGTACTGRACCTSCGTTAGGTCAGGTTTCATTTTATTGTTTTGAAGAGCAACTGTTATTGTTTGTCTATTGTTTCCCAAACCAATCACAAGATTCRCTGTGAATGATTTGGACGACTAGCRCAATGAGGATTACAACTCCCATCATGCTTTRCTGTRCATAATGGTCCCCCTTCACATTGCCTTGTAAAACAACAGGGTCTAGAGAGAATTTTGCAGCCAGTAGCACCCAGATTGATWTAAACCCTTGCTAGTATAAAAGGTTTCAGAGAAAAATGTAACACAGTTTAACGGTATGTTTGTTTTGGATATCATAGTTACCAGTATAGAACAACTTGGTATTCGTCATGCTAGTGATAACATGTACAATAGCACAAGAAAACATTTAATGATTGGTAAAGATACTAGAGTAATATGTCAAGGCTTTACTGGGAAACAGGTATACATATTATTTCAATTGTTGTATTCAATTTGTATTATTCCTTCATTGTATATGGATTAAATACAGGACATTACATGGGCGCGTGGAGATAAGGATTTTATCTTCGAGTGTTGAAAAGATCTCTGACAAGTGARCGTAGCAAACAATGGCCTAGCAGCCCAATTAGAGACATCATTGTCAGTCATAGACAGTCTACATATCATTAATATTGAATTATTGATAATTTTCTGGCTTTGATTACTTTCATTTAGGGTACCTTCCATAGTCAACAGTCSATTGAATATGGTACTAACATGGTTGGYGGAGTYTCACCAGGAAAAGGAGGAAAAACTCACCTTGGGCTTCCTGTCTTTGATTCTGTTCAAGATGTAAGTATACAYACTGTATGTTGGTTGTAAAACATAATCATTACAAATTGTTACTATATCACATGTTCTTTATACACTTTTTTTTTGTTTTGAGATTTGATCTTTGGAATTACTAGTGATCATTGTCATTATTGCCTAAAGCATTAATCTTTTMTGTTATGATTYCAGGCTGTTAGTGAAACTGGTGCTAATGCCAGCGTGATCTATGTACCACCACCCTTTGCTGCTGATGCTATTCATGAAGCTATTGAYGCAGAAATCGGTCTTATTGTTTGTATTACTGAGGGAATTCCACAACAGGACATGGTGAAAGTGAGTCTTCTTAGAAAACATAAAGATACAAAGATACCCCTTGAGAGTGCAGTTCTGTTTTCAATGATTTTATATTTATTTGATATTCTTGAAAACATTACCAGATTAAACACAGACTATTGAGACAAGGAAAGACTCGCATGATTGGACCAAATTGCCCTGGAATTATCAAGGTTTGTGTTGAATATAACACCATATGAACAATAAATTGTTATTTTGAAGAAAAATGCATTATATATGCCTGWTATTTTTAGCCTGGTAGTTGCAAGATTGGTATTATGCCTGGACATATTCATCAACCAGGARTTATTGGTAGGCATCACAACACAATAATTGCTTGTATAGTAATTCAATTATTCATTATAACCATGTATTTTAATGTGACATTTTCCAGGAATTGTGTCCAGATCAGGAACCCTGACATATGAAGCTGTGCATCAAACAACTTTAGCTGGACTTGGACAGTCACTTTGTGTAGGTAAGTAGTGGCCCCTTTTTATCACATAGCATGTTATCATTCTTGTGTATTATATTGGTATGTAATACTATAAAGTATTGTTTCACTAATAAAAATATTGTTTGTCCAGGAATTGGTGGAGATCCTTTCAATGGTACCAACTTTGTAGACTGCCTGGAGGTTTTCCTAAATGATCCAGGAACTAAAGGTATTGCAATCAAACAAAAATCTTGTAAATCAGGCAAGTCAATGTAATGGTGAAATCTGTATTTTTTCTCAGGAATTGTGTTGATTGGTGAAATTGGAGGTGGAGCTGAAGAAAGAGCWGCAGAGTACTTACAGGAACACAACCAAGGGGACAATGCTAAGCCAGTTGTATCATTTATAGCTGGTGTGACAGCCCCACCAGGACGRAGAATGGGTAAATAAACATTGGACTTCCTGTGGTAATTGGAGCACAGGAAGCCCAAATATCAAAAACTAAAACATTGGGGGACCTGTGGTAATGGGAGCACAGGAAGCCCTAATGCTTTTATGATAACTGAAATTTGAATGTTGATTTTCAGGACATGCTGGCGCAATCATTGCTGGTGGAAGAGGAGGAGCTGAACATAAAGTAAGATTATTAATAGTTATTAATTTAATAATGAATTAATAATTAACATTTTCGTTTTGCTTAGATTCAAGCTTTAAAAGATGCAGGTGTTGAAGTCACTWTGTCACCAGCCCAGATGGGTGGTTTGATGAAGAAGGTGAAGCAATTTCTTGCTGTTTCATCCTTATTACAACATACTTATTTTAAATTTCTCTCTTTTCTAGATCTTTGATGAACACTACCTTGGTGACGAACATTAAAAGAAGAATAGTTTATGGATGATATGTCTACTGTCTGATCCTATGGTTTAATGATATGTTAACGCCGTGCGAAAATACGAGAAATGGGCGTTGCTTTAAAGCTCATATTTTATGAGTAGAAATCTACATGTGGGCTGTACAGAATTAACACTTGTGTATTTTTAAAAAAGTGAATAAAATTAATTTACATTTGATTCCTTGTTGTGTGATAGTAAGTATAATCAAAACAAAATTTGGGAAATTTTTGGTAGAAAGAAAATGTGGTGGGTTGTCTCCCTATCCCTCCCCTCCCTAATAAGAATTTTTTTCGCGCCAAATTAGAAATTCTAAAGATGGCGGCCGCGTCGACGTTCGTGTCTCTCCAAAATGTCATGTAAATTTCTCAATTACGAAAAGTYATATTAGTAATATACACTAACACTTCAAAAMATAATCCAATGCAAAGGAAAGCCCATGAATTTCAGTCCTAAGGACTCCAAACTTTTACATTTTTGGCAAAGTCKTCACTTCGATACTGAAACASAGGGAAAAGACGATGCTGGGCTTTCAAGAAAGGCTGATAGTCTACGTTCGCTCATGACACAAGTGGATGTTTTATCATCAAGGTAAGCTGGCTGCTAGAGATGCTTTTGTTCTGATTATTGCGTTTGAATATATTTGTTGTGGTACATTTGTGTACTCTTGTACGTTGACAGCTCCTCAATAAGTAGCTTTGGTCGTGACCATCTTTTGCAACAGTATGCCGACAAATATTGTAAACTTGTGGACGAACAAGATAATAATAAAGGTCTGTGATTTTCACACACAGTCATGAACCGTAGATAGTCCACTAGAAATGATGATTTTGTGTTTTGTACAATGCAGGCTTGAATAACTTTGCAGAGCCTGTCCTTAGCCTTGTGGCAGGACATAATAATGGTAAGGAAAATGAGATTGTTCATTCATTTATTTTTCATTAATTATAATGTAGTTTTTGTTTTAACTAGACAGTGAAAACTGGAAGTCATCGCTGTCTCTTGAGGAAWTTAAAAAAACATCATTATGGCAAGAGATTGTAAATAAAGACAAGGTAATGAATGAATGGATCGATGAATGGTTGGATGGATAGATGAATGGATGGATGGGAAATTGAAAACAGAAAGGTTTTTCTAAATCACACACGAGCAGTCTTTTTATATTCACTCACTGCTATAACACAAATTTAATTTCATCAGCARCAAGAACTTAGAAAAAAAKYTCATCCAATACCATCCTCCACAATTACTCAAGGTSAAGAAGACACAGCTCCCTTTCCTATAGAGCCAAAGGAAAAAGATTGGTCCATTAATATTACCACTGGACATGCCGYCATTGACCAGGCRAAGTCCAAACCACCTGTTAATGGAATAGGAATGGATGACAATATGWCAAATAAGAGAAAGTTACATTTTGTTTACCCTTCAGGTAAATACATGATTTTCATTATTTGCATTGCTGTAAAACCAGCAGAAACAAAAGCCACAATGTATATGTTGTAGTTCAATCATGCTCAATATGATTTGGAACCAGTTCAATTTCTTCTGAACTGTTGTCACAACTTTTGTCTGGATTGATTGGTCATGTTGCAATGCAAATGTRTCTACAGCATTTTTCTTGACAAGAGAAGATCTTAACTTTGAATTAATATATGTTTGTTTTCAGACTATCCAGAAACAAGCAATGTTAAATTTCCTGGTAGTAACCAAGAGAGCAGACCACATCCCTGGAGYACAGGATTGCCTCAACCYCCTGAAAGCACTAATAAATACAATAGACTACCATTATCTGCAAAGGTAGGAATTTAAAGAGAGCCTYTTCAAAGATAAATCAATTTTATTCCATTCTATTACTTGATGTTCCAAGGATAATCAAGAACCAAACAGATTTTCAAATAATAATGATGATAATTATGCATCAAGACCATCAAAGTTTATCACTGCAAAACAGCAATATGTAAGTATTGCTCATTAGGAAAATAGTGGGGAACAATGCAACAATGGGGATTGACCATATACTCTTTGAATATCTAGATCATTGACAGTAAAACAAAGAACCARAAGTCAGATCAGTCTAACAGGGGAGGGGGYTCTTCTGGTTATGGAGGCAATGCAAGGAAAACCTTGGGAACTAGGTGATTAGATAGCTAAATTGATTGATTGACTGTTTGATTGATKGATTGARATCCATTTTTCATTGGATTATCACCAGACGTGGTCCAAGCCACAAGTTTGTGCCTCCAGTACCAAGGAATAATAGTGATGAAGAATCATCAGCAGAGGGGTAGGGAGTGGATTGTTTATTGGTATTCATAAATTCATGTGGTTTACTATGTTTTAACAATCAATGTAAAAATGTTATTATGTTGTTATCTCTAAATATAGTGGAGGCTTCATGAGGAGGAAGAAGAACGGTGATACTAGAGATACAGACAATAACGGCATAGAGCTGGATGAACGCCTGAAGAACATAGAACCAAAAATGGTTGAACTTATCATGAATGAGGTCATTATTTTATTATTAAATGTTTTAGCCAAATTAACCTTGATTTCTATGATAATCTTGTGTCATGTTTTGTGTACAGATAATGGATCATGGTCCACCCATTACCTGGAATGACATTGCTGGATTGGAGTTCGCCAAGAATGTCATTAAAGAAATAGTTGTATGGCCCATGCTTAGGCCGTGAGTATCATTATCGTTGGATGATATCATTCATGGGTTCATGATCACTCTTCCTAAATATAATAGAACTCAAAATGAAGCAATTAAAAATGCCTGTTGTGCAATGCCATTCATGTCATTCCAGATTGTAGAGAAATCTTGACCTTTTAAATACCTCATGGATATTTATATGCCTGTATATATTTGTTGGTGTTTCAGTGACATCTTTAAAGGCCTAAGGGGACCCCCCAAGGGTTTGTTATTGTTTGGTCCACCAGGGACAGGAAAGACCCTGATTGGTAAATGTATTGCAAGTCAGTCCAAAGCTACTTTCTTTAGTATCAGTGCATCCTCRTTAACTTCAAAATGGGTAGGTAGATTCTGTCTTCTAAGACATCAACAATGAATGCTAACATATTGGGTTTCTTGATCAAGGTTGGTGAAGGAGAGAAGATGGTTAGAGCGTTATTTGCCGTAGCAAGATGTCATCTACCAGCTGTGATCTTCATTGATGAGATAGATTCATTRTTGACACAAAGAACTGATGGAGAACATGAAGCATCAAGAAGAATCAAAACTGAATTTCTGGTGCAATTGGTAAGTACCTGAGRACTATCCTCTATGCAACCTTTTCTCACACCTACCCCCATAGGGGAAAATCTCACCATTTTAGGAGTAAGGGGTGGGAATAATTTGTCTGTGTCTGATAATTATTGTTACATATGTGTGTTATAATCTAGGATGGTGCAACTACAAACACTGATGAAAGACTTCTTGTTGTTGGTGCTACAAATAGGTAAAYAATACAACCTTGTTAAATTACCACCACTTATGGTGATAAAATTAATGCAATGGTTTATCATAGACAGTCGGTAGTTTAATAGATTATAGCCATTTTCAGAAGCTGGGGTTCCTGTTTTTCTTTGCCACAGGTAGCCCAAATTCATTTTGGTAACTGCAGATAACAGATAACTGTCTAATTTCATTACACAGACCCCAAGAGATAGACGAGGCAGCAAGGAGAAGACTTGTTAAACGTCTATATATTCCTCTTCCTGATGCAAGTGCTCGTCAGCAAATCATTTGCAATTTGCTTTCGCAACAGAGCTAYAGTTTAACAGATAAAGAGATTGGTATTATAGTTACCAGAACTGAAGGTAAAATAGCAGTCTTTCTCAATATCATAATTTTTAAGTTGAATTGTAACTTTCATCACTTACATGTGTAGGGTATTCTGGGTCAGATATGAGTAATTTATGTAGAGAGGCTGCTATTGGTCCAATCCGTTGCCTGGCAACAGCTGATATAGAACACATCTCTGCAGACCAGGTAAGCAATATGGAAAAGTTTTGGTTTGACTGCATTCAGGCCATTGCAATGTKGAGGATGATTTTGCAAAATTTGACAAAAATTGAGTATGCAGTTAATATAGCACTTCATTATTTCAMCAGGTTCGCCCAATAGAATTACAAGATTTTGAATCTGCTTTAAGTCAAGTGCGRGCAAGTGTATCTGACARAGACTTGAATTTGTACACTGAATGGAATACGTTATATGGTAGTGGAAGTAAATGACAATAGAGTACCTTATATGGAAGTAAATACCTTATTTGGWAGTTAATTACAATTGTACTCCTTATATGGAAGTGTAGATAAAAGTGCATGCTTTTGCTGTTATGYCATTTGCAGCAGTAAGTTCTTTTTTCCAAAAGTCATCTTTTTTTTATTATTCATTATCATCATAATGTAATAATTGTCATTGTAAACTTAAACAAATAAAAAGGAAAACGCCATTTCATTTATTTCATGTTACAATCTAAAATGACTTTTTTAATATATTAAATCAAAGTTAAACACAACATTAGAAAAAAAAGCAATTGGGACAAGATTAACATCTTTATATTTCCTTTGACAATATATGTCTTTGGTTGTAAACGCAATAAATCATTCATTTTATCTACTCAGATGTCTTAAATAGACGATAGTTGACTTGGGGAAGTCTTGACAACTTTCATTTGGAAATACAACATGATCTCATGGAATAATTAATTCATTTTATGATTTAAAAGGGTTAAAAAGTCATTTGTTCATTCATTCTTTAAAAGAGTTTTGCATTCTCACTGCATCTTTGTTATAGTCCTGTTATGACTAAATTGTTTCAATATTTCTTTGAAAGTTAAATACATTATAATAATTGAATATACTACAAACTATACAATCATATTCACAAGGTTTGTACCAGCATCATCCAAGCTAATGCTGGTTTCTTCTATGCTATCTACTTTGATTTTGTATCTTTTCAAAACAAACACAAAACTTTCTTAATTCAGGATGRTGATCCACAACACAGGATGGATTATTACCATACACACTTGTTCTACTTATATGTGGATTGACTACTACTCGACCATTGCTACGAAGTACWACTGTAGCTTCAAACTTTCCATCTAATGGAGATGTTTGTATAATTATTTGTAGTCTTCTACCACTTGGGATCTTACGTCGCCTTATGCGTCCATTTTTAACTGGATTYGAAAATGGTTGTGCAGCTTGAACTTCAGCAGCAGAAATAATTCCAGTTAGTTTTACAGGTGCACATCTTGCTCGAGCATAYTCCTTCTTAGCTATATTGTTATTAATAACCTTAACAACAGCTTTGGCTGCCACCTTGACTTCTGGTAAATCAAGTGAGATGGATTTCCAYGAAAGACAAGGACAATAGTGGTAGTCTATACCTGGAAAGATTCACAAAACATTTCAAACTAAATCCATTAAAAGAACRGWAAATCATACTGGCCAAGATCAGGGGRAGCTYCRCTTTCCTACATTTTCAAAACTACTTTCACAATATATTGTAAAGCTCTTTYTTGTCTCTTCATTCTAAAYATTTTAAAATAATGAAAACTTACCAGCATCTGAACAAGAACGCTGGGGAGAAATCTTGGTAAATAAACTTTGTGTTTTTTGACCTGGGTCAATTTTTGGGAAAGTCATTAAATGACGTAAAGTTGCATGAACATCAAAGGCAGTAGTKACTATATTCTGGTTGTGTTTTAAGTTAGTAGCCATGTCAGGGTATTTTTTGCTAAACCATTTAGGAAGGACAATAGACAGCCATGGCAGTCGCTCCTCTAAACTTCCTTGCATAGAATTACGTAGTGGTCCAATACGAGCTCCATGGTCACCTGAAATGATTGATAAAGTTAACAAAATCCATTATAATTACAGTAAACAAAGAAAACAGGGCATGCAGTCTGTAAACCTAGTAGATTTAAGACATTCATCCCAAGAAAATGCAACAATTATTGTGCAAATTTAGTAACATAGACATGCTAGGGTGAAAGACTAAAAATAAAATRAAATAAAGAACAATATTTAGTGCAAGTTATGCTAAAGTATAATTCACTTGTTAATGAAAACCATCAAAASAAAACAATGCAATTAGTGGACTTTCTGGTATAATGATAATAATGAAATGTCACCAGATAAAAATGATTTCTCAGAGTGGTTTTCATAAAACCTAAGGAATACACTTTAGCTTTATACACTAATTTGTTTTACATCYTTTTGAAATTTAATCTAAACTTTTTGGTATTATTACAGAGATTTAGTCTGTTTGCTCTACTCATAGATCAAAGTTCTGCACCCTAGGGTGTACTTTACTAGGAAATTTAGAAGCCATATGGTAAAATGAGATTAAAATCTTAAATGCATGAACTCTAAACTTACTTAAAATAATAAGGATTGTGTTGTTTCGCATTTTTTGGTAYCTCTTCAAATAATGCACTACATCTTTGTCAGCATAACTGAGCTTATCKGGAATACCATGTGCCAAATAGGACATAAAAGCAAATCCAAACTTTGGTGTGTTGGGATATGCATTAAACATGCTATACAGATAATTCAAAGTGATATTATGTAAAGCTTCAGATCCTAGACAMGCCAGGTTGTTGTCAGGAAATTTATGCTTCTTTTTATCCTTTCTAAGTTTGTGATCTTCCAGAGCAAGCCARAATGGTCTCATRTAGTGATCTGCTGGAGGTTTTGTAAAACCATTCATACGGATATTAAAAGCAGCAATTTTTTGATCATCTTCAGCATATAATGACACATAGCCATGCTTTGCATAGTCTTTCATAATCCATGGCCATAAGTTTAAATCCTCTTGGGTTTTGCTCTGYCTATCCTTCACCAATTCATTGATAAATTTTCCAGTTAGTARKGCAGTCAATATAGGAGTTGTRCCATCGCCTATAGCAGAGTATCCATTAAAGAAGTAGGCATCAAGGTGATTTCTCAGATARTCATRMGTTTTAGGTAGTTTTCTTTTGAACATTGCATTTGAGGTAGAATCAAAGCCAAAAATGAGAACATTGAGGGGAATGCTAGCAGGATTAAYACTAAGAGCCCTTTGTGACCTTATTAAARCATCCTTTTTGGCAGCAACTCGGGCCATGTAGTGTACAAGTTGTTGGTCATTTTCTTTGGGTTCATAAGTAAGTTGAATAAAATCATTAGCCATTTTTCGAATCTTTTTATTAACACCCTTTTTAAAAGGATATAGTTCGGGTCCAATGTAATAAGAATCATCATTGTCTTCAGGACGAATTATATATGATAACTTAGTTGAATGCAGTTTGAGTGCAGGACGATATTCTTTCTTTCTGATGGTCAGCATACCTCGACTATTTATACTAAAATGCAAATCAGGGCCTTGACATTTYGGATCTTCACCAAAATCTTTTACAAGATTTATAATGGATTGTTCAAAAGGGTCCAGTTTTGGCAGTGTACAGATTGAAGAGAAGTTCCTGGAATTTCCCACTGAAGTTTTATGAGGAATAGTATTATCATCCCTGAAAGAAAAAAAAATGTGTTTCTAATTTGAAATAAAGACTTAGTATTAAAAGGTAATTAATCAAATATTAATAAATTCACTTAAATGTACAATGTTATACAACGGTAATTCATCGTTCATAGCAAAGAAAAGAATGTTCCTTTTTCTTTTCGTAGCCGATCAAAAAGATTGCTGCCATACAACATATCGTGTAGGAATGTCACTGCTAGATTAGAGCAGACGAGGTGGATTTTAGTGGTTGATTGACACTATTACAAGTGATATATGAAGTGATGTCTTTTGAAGACTAACAAGATCAATCCAATTGAGTCAATGATTAGTGATAGCTTCATTAGTTTTACTTGTACAAGACTCTACAGTACGTACAAATTCGTGCGGATTATTTTTCAAAGAGACAACAACAAAAATGCGGTCWGTCAGTGGTATTCTGGTTTGTATTATTCAGAAATGTTCAAAGGGTTATCGWTATCCAGTAAATGCAACATTTAACAGATCTTACCCTTCTGGTATATGATTATTAACATCGTCGATGTCTTCGCCATCGTTTTCTTGTTCTCGATCTTCTCGTAARCGCCGACATTTTTGAGTCCAACAAGAAGAGCCAAGCCATGTGTCATAACTATGCACTAACCATAAACCAACGCATGCCAGAATCAAAAACAACAATAAAAACTTATTYCTTCTCATYCTTGAGTAAAGAATCCTTAATAACATGACCTGGAGTGCAGTTCAACTGCAGGGCAACGGCGAGAGTAGAGACGAGGCCATCGAAAACATGACCATCCTTTTTCTTGTCAATCGGCGATGATTTTCTCACGAAAGTCCATTGAAATGTTCCTCTTAACCACATCAGATCGTAACTACACAGCTACAATGCCTTTGGGACGACCATCTGATAAAATCCAGAATAAAGATAACGAAGATTGATTGGAAAAATCTGTCGCGTGTTTGCCATTCAAAACCTCGAGTCARTGTGGTGGCTGTTAAAATATAACTCGCTTTCTGGCAAAAAGGAATCTTTGGAATGCCGAACTKAGCGCCTGSGGCGCGCGCGCGGCGTTCGAGAAGCCAGGAAATATAATTTTAAAATCATTCAATTTTTTCTCAATTCAATTATATACAAATACAAAGCTTTCTTGATGTAAAAATACCCTCAAGCATCAAYAAAATTGAGCATTAAAAGACACAAAGACAATGTTTGGGCTTCCTGTGTAGCTGACCACACAATACGCGGGCACCTTGGGCTTTATTTGGTGTTGGCTGTACAAGCGCTGGTCGTAACAGACAGGAAGTCAGCCTTTAACTCTCCTTTAACGYCAGATCACCCTAYTTAAACCATTTGTAGTCGTCTTCTCGCAGAATGTTGTAAATGAACCTTGGTAGCAGTCAGCCATTATGAAGGAAGTTCTATATATCGTGATTAAATTGGTGGTTTTGCTCAACGTGCGCACGGGAGGTACTCGGCTTGTTATTCACACTCTTGTCATAACAAAGTGACTATGTGAGTTGACCACCTATATTTTTTATCAAAGGAATTCTTATCAACAATGGTGAAGTAGACGAATCAATACAGAAATATCATGAAGTTATTGTAAAACAATTGAATGGYGGTCGCTGGAGAAGATCCATGGAGACGCTGTCAACCGTGTCAAACWCCAAGGTTAAATTTGCAGATTTTTTATTGTAATTTAAGCCATATTCATTGTATAAAGCTTATGTTTATTAGTTTTGAAGATCAATGTAACTATGTTTTGAAATCMTGAAATATGCTGAGTCTCTTGTTGGCATCTTTTTTCTAGAAAGGTCATCACGACCAAGTCACGTTTTCCGTCGGTGGTTTTCAAAATAACAAATGGATTCTCAACTTATCTCTCAACCAGTAAGAGCATTTCTTGTAATATTGAAGTGCACTTTGAGTTTATTGTTTTATCCTTTGATTAACTTATGTTTGTAGGCTATTACTGCCTTATGGGTCAAAAACAAGGTTCACGAATCAAGAYGGGAACGAGCAAGCTATCCCTTCTMGGGTTTGTTGTCTTTATAAATATTTATCCAGTTTAATGCAGTTAAGAAGATTTGTATTCTAATGCATTCGCCAGCTAGTTTTCAGCCGGTGTACATGAAATTGGAATTGAAATTGAATRCAATTAAAGGTGTGACCGGAAGTATATTGAACTGAGACGTGATGGCTAGCAGGAATTGATCAACTTGGCCAGATTTTGTCCATTTGACTGCAAAGGAATTTGAACTTTCTTTCTTTTTTTTTGGCCAGTGCATTTAGTTAATGATTGCAGGTTAAGAGTGATTTTGRCTCAATTTGATTAAGATACCAGAATAAACTAAATGGTAATGGGGCTTAATTTGATGGTTTGTGCAAAATGCTGTGGTTTAAAGACAATCACTTAAACGATAATCTGATTAAAGGACACAGCAATTTTCTAAAGTAATTGGAATGGCATGAGTTCAGTTACTGACTGAATAAGCACTATAACATCTGGAAAAATCTACATTGACAGTATATCATGTTTAAATGAAAGCTGACCACAATTAACCACGAGACTAAATATTATGGACCTTATTGGTTGACGTGGATCACAAAACTTAAAAAAAGTAGATTTGAATGATTTTTTCCTGTGAATTTAATCTGCATTCTTTGCCTTGCATTTTGCAATCCCCAAAAAATAGGCTGACTGTAGTAATGGCCAATGCAAATATTGCCTTTTGCACCAAATGACATTTTAATGTAAATTCTTTTATGTTTGAACTTTTGAAACAGAACATCCCTTCCAAAACAAAGGAATAACATATTGGTGATAAATAATGCTCTTTTCTTTTTAAGAAAGTCTTTTTAACATTCTTTTTGAAAATATTCCAAGTGGAGAGGTTGTTAAAGTATCAAGAGATTGTTTTTGCTACAAAAAATCTGACTGTGCTATTTTTCCTACAGCCCGCAGACAGCTGTTATTATCAGGGTACAATACAAGGGTATAAAGATTCTTCAGTAGCACTAAGCACATGCCAAGGTTTAGAGTAAGCATGTAACAATATGTATATACTTTATGATTCAATTATTACTAGTATTCATACAATTACTTGAATACATAACCTTCTGCAAATGGATTATTTCAGGGGTGTGATATTTGATGGAAAAGAAACATTTTATATCCAGCCACACAAGAAAAAGGTATGTGACTGTATAGGTATGGTAATTCACTATTGTTTGAAATATGAAAGGAAACAACATCATGGCTTTTTCTTTCACCTTTATTCACATTTTGAAGTGTTTCCTTACTTTATCATATATATACAAATTTATAGGCTGATGTTATAAGTCATATATTGTACAGAACAAAGGACATTAGGCTCTCTAATGCTGTCTGTGGTAGGTCTTTRATGGTACTTGCAGTGGTGCTTTCTTGACATTAAAATATTGTAGCCTCACCAGTATTAGTCTTGACAAATGTATCATCACTTTCTTTTTTTTCATCCTTTTTAGATCAGCATAATAGTGTAAATTATTCTAGTATAATGAAAGCAAAYCACAGGGTAAGAATAGATAATTTCACAAAAGTACATGCTCTTTCAAAATTATTGCAGACGAAAATGAGGAATTTTATTAAGTGTAAGAGAGCTCTGTGTGGCCTGACAAACATGCAATGCAACTGCAATATTTTTGAAAGTAAGCAAGTATCCAGAAACTTTTTTACTGCTACTACCAATAAACCTTCATAGGATACAAATATTGAGTATTTATTGCATTGGACTTGGGCTTCCTGTGCTGCAAGCACAGGAAACCCAATTCTATAACATAACAATGTTTTTTATCTTAAGGTTCGCAGAAGTTTAGAATCTGAGACGAAATATATTGAGTTGGTAATCGTGAATGATAATAAACAGGTGAAAATCATTGTTATAATTATCATTACTTAATCATTGATTAGTAAATTGAATAGTTGATTATTATTATTTCAGTTTCAACATTTTAAGGGTGATATGACTAAAACTATCCAAAGGTCGAGGACTGTTGCTAACATTGTAGATTCTGTAAGTGGATTTTTTTCTCATAACTTGGAATTTGATTATACATTATTATTACAGTATAATTATTTTAAGTGGATAGTCTTATTTGTCATTTTTTTCAATCTTTTATAGCTATACCGTGCTCTTAATATACGTGTTGCTCTAATTGAGCTGATTATTTGGAATAAAAATGATGCAATTACTGTTGAACAAGACTCCAGCCAAGCTTTGGAAAATTTTAACAAATGGAGAAATACTGAATTGGTTAAGAAGAGGAAACTCAAGCATGACAATGCACAGCTTTTGACGTAAGCTTCATTCTTATTAATTAAGCATTAATTATTCATTACACTTTAAACATAAGCTAGTTTTAGATTTTAGGTTGAAATGACATGTTTTAGCACTTGAAAACCCCTTCAATAACATGACATTGATTTTGCGTTGTTTTTATAGTATTCTTCCATTGCAATATTRGAATTAGATTAATTAACTTCATCATTCAGTCATGTAGATTTTGAAGGGCCAACAGTTGGTAAAGCACATGTGTTGTCAATGTGTACTTCAAGATCTGCTGGAGTGGTGCAGGTAATATCTAATAGAACACCTTTATATGATGAAAGTCTTGTAGTTGCAGCCATTTCATGTTATTTTAGTTTATGTGTCAAAGAATATATTTGAGGGAAAATATGGCTGTTCTCAATCTGTAGTACTATGCCTCTATTCTGTCAGTTTGTGTAAGTCATGTTTCTGTGTATTATATTAGGATCACTCAGCTAATGCTGCATCAACAGCTTCAACATTTGCTCATGAAATGGGTCATAACCTTGGCATGGGACATGACACTGGTAAGGKTTCAAGTGACTGAGTTACTGACTATATAGAAATGAAAGAAAGTTATAGTGCTTAGAAGGAGGCAATACCGGGAGAAGTCCCTTAGGAATAAATTCRGAAAAATTAATTTCCGACCTCGCTGGGATTCGAACCCACGACCTTCGGATTTGTACACCGATGCTCTACCAGCTGAGCTACAAGGCCAGACTGGGAGCAGGTCGGGGTGAAATAGTTACTGACTGACTGGCATGCTGACTGACTGTTTTGTAGAGACTGACAAATTTGCTGACTGACTGACTGGCTGCAGCTTGTTGACATGTGTTGACTGACTAGTRATACTGAGTTATTGACTGACACTCAAGAACTGTTTCTGATTYGTAATACAGATGTATGTAAGTGTGATGCCAATAAAGAGACTCAACATTGTATCATGTCAGGAGTGGCAAGGTACTAGTCAGCTTAAATACATTATTATTATCCTAAGGAATTCAGACTCAGATTATTAATGAAGTTAAGCAAAAACATCTCTCTAATCCAGACGTGAGTGTTGTGAAGCCCATATTGCAAGTTAATTGTATTTTTTTCTTCCTTAGATCTGTGCCTGCTACAGATTGGTCATCTTGTAGTCGTAAACAGCTAAATACTATGCTAGAAAAAGGCTTGGATTCATGTCTCTATAATGTGCCTAAGAAGGTAATACATAATTACTATTACTGTAATAATCATTGATCATGGTTTACTTGTTATTATCAAGATATTTACTATAAATAATGAGCACTCATCATTGTTATTTAGTTCTATGGCAGTCCAGTTTGTGGGAATGGCTTCAGAGAAGAAGGCGAAGAGTGTGATTGTGGCAGCACTAAGGTACATTTCTTTTTTTCTATTCAAGTATTTGTCAAGTTATTAACAGTCACTTTGTTTGTGTTAGGAATGTGAAAAGTACAGCGATAATTGTTGTAATTCTACAACATGTAAGCTTAAGCAAGGAGCAGAATGTAGCCAAGGACTTTGTTGTGACAAGTGTAAGGTAATAGAACCCTCTTCAGGTGTTGATTAAAGCAATAATGATTATTAAGTCATATTATTTTTTTCCAGTTCAAAGCTTCACATGTTGTTTGTAGAGACAAAGTCAATGAATGTGACTTACCTGAACACTGCACTGGAAAATCAGAGCAGGTAATATTATCATGAGTTTATAACTATATTTTTTACTCAATGAACTTACTATTCTTACATTCCACAGTGTCCTGGAAATAGATTTGTTTACCATGGAAAACTTTGTAATGATGGAAAGGTAAGCTAACACCTTAGAGTATATGTAGTTTTAATGGCTACCAAACTTACTACTGTCAAGGGGATACTGTCTCCATGGTTACAAAAATTGATGATTTGGTAAAAGTGTAGTTGCTATGGTTATCTTATGGTCAGGAATCCTTCATGCACATACTGCAATGCCACAGCAAACAACCAAGAAAACAACACTTAGTCCTACTACTTAGTCCTACATGAGAAGTTGGCCTAGCATTGCATGCAAGTTAGGRTAGAATATTGTTGGTCATCCCTCTAGAGTAAAGAGTGAGAGACACTAGGAACAAGCTTTTTTGCTATTAATTATTATTGTATTTGTAGGGCTATTGCAACCAAGGAGAGTGCCCAACTCTAGAAGGACAATGCGAACTGCTATGGGGCAGCAATGTCAATTCAGGACCAGAACTTTGTTATACTTTAAACATGAGAGGAAACTATGCTGGAAGCTGTAGTAAACTACCCGATGGGTCATTTGTTAAATGCAAATACGAGTAATGTTTTGCCTAATTATTTATAAATATTATATTATTATAATTATTCATGAATATTTACATGAAAATGTGACTGCAATTTTCATAAAGCATTCAAGCATACAAGAAAGCATGATGGCAGTTGTTCATAAAAATGCAAGAACTGCAACTCCTAACTTTATACTTGTTTGTAAAAAATGCATGTTTTGCTGCACATTTTCAATTGTTTTTGTCACAAGTCATCAGTGAGCAGTCCAGAGACTTCAAACTTGGTGATTTTAGTTAATATTATAATGGTTTTCTTATAAGTGTTTTGAGAAATTTAATGTAAGTCAATGTTTTCAACAGGGACATATACTGTGGCATGCTTCACTGTACAAACACAAAAACCAATCTACCAATCATTGGTACCGAGCGCACTGCGTACAAATACAAGTGGCATATTGATGGCAAGTTGATTGAATGCAGGTAATYYACTTTTATTTGCATACAACATCCTTCACTGTCCATAATAATGTTTGACTGATAAATTATTAATGAGTCTTGTTATGGTAATAGGAGTACWTCTGTTGATGTTGGGACAGATACAGATGACCCTGGCATGGCAAGAGAAGGMACCAAATGTGGCGATGAAAAGGTAATAGTCTATACATARTTTTCATGATGGCATCATAACCCTAACTACAAAATCCTTTCTTTTGATATAAAGTATATTGCTAAAATGGGAATAATAATCTGTAGAAGAATAAAAAATTAAGAGTATTTTTGTGTTTGTTGTCGAATGATGATATTGTTATGAAAATTATTGTCATTATAGTCATTGTGAGTCATGTTATCATAATATCCGATCCTAAAACTCTTTTTCAGGACCATCTAATTACATTTTATGTCCTGTCATCATTAGGTTTGCATATCCAATCAATGTAAGAATGTAACTGATTTACTGGAAAGGAATACAAAGTGTCCTGGAGATTGTTCAGGAAATGGGGTAAGTGTACTTTACTACTTTGTCATTGCGACAGGTGATATGGATGTTTTAAACTTGTTTCCATTTATTAGATATGTGACAGCAATGGTGAATGCTACTGCAACGACTGCTGGACAGGGAATGATTGCACCAAGTCAACACCATGCTTAGATGGTAAAGTAGTAATCAGTACCTGGATGKTTATTTCCAGGAAGTGCTATTAGTGGAATTAACATGATTAATTCAGTTCTTCTTGAAATATGTGATTGAGCCGATAACGCTGGTTTAGTACTAATGCTTTCAAAAAGGAAGGTGCTTCGATTAAGCATAACAAGTGCTATTGTCTTTCAGTTGCTGCTCGTTCTGGCCACTCTAAGTTAGCAGGGTATATCATCCTGGTGTTTGTRATTATMTCAGTGATCGTCGCCTTGGTTGCGGCATTTATTTACCGAGATAAACTAAAAGCGAAATGGCAGCAACGAAGACAACCTGGAAGAAGGTACTTCACAATTTCATGGTAGATTTACAGCCTGTATTACTGCCTTGCCTGATGGACTGACGTACTGACTGACAGATTCCTTAATTGATTGATTGATTCGTTGATTGATTGATTGATGATTGAGTGAGTGAGTGATTCGTTGATTGATTGATTGATGATTCAGTGAGTGATTCGTTGATTGATTGATTCGTTGATTGATTGATTGATGATTGATGATTGAGTGAGTGATTCGTTGATTGATTCACAGAGCGATTGATTGACTGAGTGATTAATTGATTGATTATCATAGATATAACTTTTTTGTACTCTTTAGATATGAAACCACCCATTCAACGTCACCATCACAAACCCCTAAAGCAAGTGACACACAACGACAAACTTCTAGAGATTCCAAGCAAAAACCAAGCGTTTACTCAAATCCTGGTAAAATCGATCTTCCTAGCTGGCCTTCTGATAGTTCTACTAATCAAGATATCAGTCGAGTACCTAGACGGCCTCCCCCTGGCCCTCCTAGTTCACATCGGGCATCTAGTCCCCCCGTTAGTTCAGTTAGAGATAGTCCTTTATTTAGTCAAAGACCAGATAGTTATGCTGGTGTACTAGATAGGCGACCACAGCCAAGCTTTCCTGTGGACAGTGTGAATAGGCCAACTAAGACTACTAGCGATCCTGTACTGCCACCTATCMATCAGTCTGTTAGGCCATCAGATTTGAAAAACAGTCAACAAACTGCTTTAAAACCACCCAAACCACCTGTACCTAGTCATAGACCAGGAAGAGCAGCACCACCACCACCTACTAGACCAGGATTACCGCCTCGAGTATAGRGATTGTTGGCCACATAAGAATTTAGAATAGATTATAAAAGTCGTTAAGATGACAAAAATCGAACGCAGAATGCTATCAAACTTWAGAGCTGAATATCTCAATCTTTACGCGTCAAAATATAATGTTTACGGACTTTCGTCGGAGGATTATTTTCACAACCTGAACGTCCAAAAATTATCAGCATTTTCACGACGTAAAAATTACTATTTTCCTCCAAAATTAGGAGAAAGAATGATTCAATCATAGAATGTACATACATTGTCTTGATTAGAATCATAATCAACATTAATGAATGGCAATATTCATTTGTGAATTATTAACAATTTTTCTTTGTATACAAGAAGAATCATAAAATATCAAAAGTTATTGAGAAATAGCACATGCAACGTCATGTAAAATTGCTAAATAAGCATGCCTTTCGTGTAAAACGCAACCATTAGGAAAATCATCAATCCACAACTCAAGTATGAGTTTTTCAATGTAGACATTTGGGCTCTAGCATATGACGTCAAAGCAGCTTTATCTGGAGGGCAAACAATACATTTTTCTGTTCCCCAGATAGAACTGTATTTCCATGAGTCAGAAGGGGACCCCATTCTTTCATAGCGGAGGCTCTCTCGTTGTAGCTCCCACGAGTAAAACAGCAACAACCAGAGAGGCTCTACTATAAGGGAAGGGTCCCCATTATTCTAGTTATTTCATGCTGCAGGTGTGGCTTAAATCATACATGTTAAATAACTGAAGTTCACTGGATGAACTGATTAAATATATTATTTCAATTTTAACATTGATAATGGAAATTGTTGATCTGAGAGCGATTAGAATTTCTCCTAAATTAGCGTATAATCTTGAGTCAGACTTTAAATTTTCAAGTTTCGATTTCAAGTTTCAATTTCAGCTTCATTTAAGCATGTTTATGAAAATTTAATACCGGACTTTGAGTCTTGCAATTCTTCGCGATCGACCATTTCCATTATCATATGTCAATGAAATCGGTAGAACTTGTTTCTGTCTCTTTTAGGACAAAAATGCACGGACACTGAAGTTTGTATAATTTTTTTAATTCAATAGTAGCGGTGAATCTAGAAATTTAATATTTGTACTAGTGCAATTTGTTTTAAAGTTTAGGAATATAATGTTTAGATAAACATGAAAAATATGTAAATCAATCAAAGGATTTTAATTAATAGTTTGGTTCAAATTCCATCTATTTTGTAAATTTGTTGAGTCGAAATGTAAAAATGCAATAATTTTTTTTTATGAACTGCTCTTGAAAGTAATTAAAATGATATAAGTAATTGAAGTATTTTGCTTTTAAGAGTCATTAATTCAAAATGGCTTCTTTCAGCTTTTCGAAAAAGTGAATGTTTGATTTCTCAAAACGTGGAGTGCTACAACCGGCCTGCATTCCGGTGCCAAAACACACAGTGACATTCGCCAAACACCCGGAATATTGTAAATAGCCAAATCAAGGTGACTTAATTCTTGAAAAGAAATTGGGGACGAAAAAAAGAACTGTATCACTCCCGAAACTGACCATCAAGCAATCATAGACCCGACGGAAGAATCATTTGAATGTGCGTGTGAGGATCGCACTTCAAGTTTGTATTTTTTTCCAGCGTTGTCTCTATCAGAGGAACGCTCATTTTTGACAGATAATTGGCAACTATGAGGGTCACGTGACCTCTTTTAATGCAAATCTAGGACGACATGTTGTCATGACTATAGAAACGTCAGTTCAGGCTCAAAAAAGCAACAGATCGCCCAATCAAACGTGAAGGTTATTTGGAAGCGAAAGTGCTTTTGTCAGAAGTCATTGTGTTTGGTTTCGGCGTAATTTGAGATGTCGTGACCCAGACTCCAAAACACTTYACATTATGTCACGAAAGACTGGGCTCTATAGGTCACGTGATGTAGTGGGAGTGATCTCATTGGTGGGATATTTTATATTGACAGCTATATTTTTGCTCGTGTTGTTGTTATGATTTTCAGACAGAAGAAAAACATCGTCGACATCAGAAGTTCGTTGCGTTGACTCCTTACTCTATCAAAGATTCAGAGGACACTGCATGTAGAACGAAAGAAAGTAGGACGTTCATTTTGGTTAAGCCGCTATCCAGTCATTCATTGCTTGTACTTTACTTTATAGAGCATTCAGCAACCCGTCATGAAAGGTTTATTGAGACTCAATCTATTTCTCATCTCCGAGATCTGGTCCTACCCTTGGCTTGTTGTGTTTTCGGCTACTCATTTCAGTATCATAAGTGTTGGCATTCTCTTGGCTATGGATATTCGTGTCTAAATACCAAAGCCACAGCGAAACGAGATACGTGAATCAAGAGGTTGCTTTTTATGACGAGGGAATGTTATTGTTCCACACATCAGCTGTTTTCGTGAAACTGACACAACGACAAAGTGACACCAGCTCAACAGACAACAATACATTGAATTAGCTTAGAAAGTAAACTAATAAACAGACGGATTTACACTGTTTGGATATGGGCGACGTGGAATACGATCAACAGCATCCGCGAGAGCTGATCAAATGCGTGCTGATAGGGGACTCTGGTGTTGGGAAAACAAGACTCATCTGTGCGGAAGCTCTTGGCGTTGGAATGAAAGGGCCTTTGCCTTTGAAGCATCTTCATTATCCGTCCGTATTTGCTATCGATCAATATCACGTTTCCGAGGAAATACGTGCTCGAGCAAATTTTATGGTCGACGGAGTTAATGTCGCTCTAAGGCTATGGGATACWTTTGGTGATCGTCACATGAACAGAAAGTATGCTTATCAAAACGCAAATGTAGTATTACTATGTTTCAATATTAGTAGTCCGTGTTCGTTCAAGAACGTCAATGCTGTATGGTACCCAGAGATCAAGAAGTTCTGCCCCAGAACGCCGATTATATTGACAGGAACTCAATCAGATTGGCGCTGTAACAAAACTGCAATGACTACCGTTTCAAGTAATTCAACCCCTAGTCTAAGCCAGCGCATGCGTGATTGTGTGCTAGTATCACCAGACATGGGCAGGCAGGTTGCTAAGGAGATTGGTGCTACATATTATGAGTCTAGTGTTGTCACCATGTTTGGCGTGAAAGAGGTTTTTGAGAATGCTGTCAGGGCTGCATTGGTTTCTCGACGACAAACAAGATTCTGGTCRTCACAATTGAAAAGGGTCTCTAAACCATTACTACAGCGGCCATTTCTTCCCGAAAGATCATCAATGCCATCAGTAGTTGTTCCAGACAGTCAGTACCAAAAGAACCTGGATGTTCTTCTCAGAGCAGGAGAATGTACTGATGTGAAGTTTGTGATTGGTCAGTATGTCCTTGAGGCGCATACAGCCATCCTTTGCTGTTCTTCAGTATTATTCAGTCAACTCCTGCTAAGACATGGCTTGCTTGGTAACTATAGTGATGAAGAATATGTCTTCAAATGCCTTACAGGAGGAGAGGAGCAAATTAAATTCCTTCAAGATGCTTTGGTGCTTGGAAAACAGGTTTTACTTCCAAGAGGCTTTTTTTCCATCAGTTTGCTTAAAGAKGAAAKTGGAATTCATCAAGCAAAGGTTGTTGTTGAAGTAGAARGCTCAATTCCACCAAGTGCCTTTCATAACATCCTGAACTTCCTGTACAGTGGACATCTACCAGTCAAAGATTGCACSAAAGAACTCCTAGATATCACCCAGTACTTACAACTAAACAACATTACCAAGTACATAGCTAACATCATGAACAATTCATCATACATGAATACAGAAGTATGCTCCAACATTTCCAGGAGAATGGTGTTTGGGGGTAAAGTTCTTGTCAATCAGAAGTGCATGTCTGACATTTCATTCATATTGGATGGGAAAACAGTGCATGCACATAAAAGCTTTCTTGTGTCACAGTGTGAAATGYTAGAAGCCATGTTCATGGAAGGTCATTTCAAAGAAAGTGGCTACCATTTGGTGAGTGTAAATTACTTACAGAAGAAGGATTAGGGTTATAACAATTACGTACAGGGRGAGGGGGAGAAGAGGGTTAAGACTAAACTATGACTTCAAGGGAACATGAGGGAAACATGATCGGTACTTGCAGGATTAGTGTATTTTGTAAGCTGATTCATATTTTTTTTCTCTTAAAGGTTGAACTAAAGGAAGTTTCAAATCACAGATCTTTCCTGGCAGTGTTAGAGTACTTGTACACYGGTCACTGCCCTGTATTAGGTCTTGAAGAAGCCTTGGATGTTATTGGACTTGCAAACTTCTTTTGCTTATCAAGATTAGTAGCTTTATGTGAGCAGCTAATAACTAAAGAGATTCAAGTTGCAATGGCAGTGGATGAGCTCTCTGTTGCAGAAGATGTCATAGGTAAATTGCTTCTAAGGATTTTWMTTGACTGCCGATGAAACAGACAACATTTTTATAGAGGCAAGGCCATTCCATAATTCTTATATATTGATTTCTTTCAGCRTGCTTGATTGTAGCACAGCTTCATAATGCCTCACAGTTAGAAACATGGTGTCTTGTCTACATTGCCAACCACTATGTAGAGGTTTGTCATCGTCATCCAAAGGAATTCAAAATGTTAACCCCAGCAACACATCATTTTCTCAATCAGCAACGATGGCCACCGATTTGGTACTTGATTGAGAATGACTGGTAYGAGAAGACCACAAATGAGATTGACCAACAAGAGAAAGGCAAGAGGGTGATCAAGTCAGTAGTGAAAGCTAAGAAGAAGAAATGCCACTGCTTGTAAAGTGAGCATATTGATTTGACAAGTCAGACTCTCAACTACTTTTTTTACTGGCAGTTTTAAACATGCTGAAATGTATAGTAGTTGCTGTTTGYAAACAAGTAAACAACACGAGTCATTGCTCAACAAAGTATAAAGTTCTTTGACTAGGAAAAATTAAGCATTGCTGAAGAAAAGCACATAATGTAGATGTTGCTAGAGTAACTTGAACTTGACATTGGTAGTTATAAAAACACTACTGCATTTATGAAGAGAATAAATTAAAGAATATTGTTATAGTTGAAATAATTTAATTTTAGACAGTGTCCAACATTTTGATGATTCTATTATGTTTACACATCTAATCCACCAATCACAGTGGACAGGGATATGTCACCATAGTAATGCCATTACTGGATTATCATGTTAAGTGAAGTGTTAAAATATATACTTGTATATTGTGAAAATATAAAGAAGCTTAAGAAGCACATTTGATACAGTAAAAAWTGATAGAACAAGTAGATGATAACCAACATAGGATTTGGTACAATTTCAAAGATTTTGGGTTTCTTGCTGCACATTTTCTTTAAAATAATTTGCGTTTTTATTCAGTGCAATAGACAACTTGTAGAGGAATAAATTATAGGTATTATTATTCTATTTATTTTAAAGAATAGGAAAGAGTTTGTCTGTGAAGTTCAGCAAAATATTTTAGACTGCTAATGTGTTATCAGTGATCTCATCTATAATGTTTTGTTGCCGTGGTTACTGTGCTGTTGCAGTAATATGTAAGCTTTTACACTAAAACATTTGCTATTGTGTATATTTATAGGACTAGAAAACAAAGCCTGTACCTCCAATGGAGGAGCAAATGACACAWTAACTGTTTTGTATACAGTTTTGTTATTCAATATTCATAGGCAGTTTCTGATGATTTTATGTAAGTTTAAAATGCATGATTTGAAATTAGTGTAAAAAAATACAAAACAATCAATATAAATATGACAGATTTTAATGTAGAATTCACAAGATTACACTGTCTGGTATATCTTAACAGAAATATTACACTAATTACATTGACATGTATTGTTGTACAATAGTATAAAATATATTGAACAKTATTATAGAGGATAATATTAAAGATGTGATAGAAGCTATCATGTAACCAAGAAAGCYATAACAACAATGTAATAACCATGTATAATACAAAGTTTTAATTTGCCAAAAGTAATAAAAAACATGTTAAGTGTTATTGTGTTTTAAAAATTGCTCCTATTCCATTCTATAGTGGGAACTCAAAAAAAAAATATATATATATATATATAATTCAAAATTAATGTGAAACAGCCATACATTTCAACCAGCTTTTTCTGCTTGGAAATATTCAGTTTCTCCTATGAATATTTCTTTTGCAAAATATATCATAYTGTTTCAAAATTCTAAACTTTTCATGRCACATTGAACATATAATCAAGCTATTTCCCTCCTGAAAATTATGGGTTATTGCATATATTCATTTACACAATGGGTACTGCAAAAGCACATCCRCTCTCAATGGCCAGGTTATACCTATTTCCYTCCCCATTGTTATATTTGCTTGTTACAATTCTCAGGAAGCCATTTTCTCCCCAGGGAGCTCCCCACGAGTTCCTCACAATCCAATATTCCACTCCTTTCTCTACTCCCCAGCCTACAACTGAAACAATGTGGTTTACTTCTGACAGGAGATGGTACTCTTTGTAAATCCCTCCAGTGTATTTATCAAGGCTTGAGGTAGCCATGATTCCACAAGCAATTGGTCCACGGGCATATATTTCTGCCATCATCTTTTCCCGACCTGCCACGTTTCCTAATATCATTGAATTAATGTTAGTATTATCTGTTTTATCCTTCAAAACATTGGTCATTGTCAGGGTAAGATGTAAGTAAATATAGCAATAAATTCAAACTAAGCATTTACAATTATGTAATAGCAACCTATTTTCTTACCAAATTCACTGACTTTCCATTTAGTGTAGTTCTTGATTGGGAARCAATCTCCAAAAGTGAGGCATGTACCACACTGATTGAAGTCAGTGCATTCCATGTCTTTAGCTTGGTAGTTGTTGCAGGTTTCATCAGGTATTCCTGTTTCATGTGCATACTTGTATACGCCAGCCATTCCACCGCCATGGCATGTCCCAGCGTTGGCTAAAATTAGAAAGAATAACATGAAATGTTAACTTGATAATTGCATTTCCAACAAGGGAACTATGTGAACAATGCCACAACTTTTTAGTTAATAAATTCTGGTTTCCTTATGGACACTAGGATTGCTGAAATCAATTGCTGATAAAATGTCCCAATTGCATCCTGGAGAGTATCTCCATTTGTAGTCTCCTTCGCAAGGGGAGGCTGTGAAGGAGACTACTCCATTTGCAGACGCTTACCACAAGCCAACACATGTTGCACAGAAAGATAGTTGACAGGCCATTTTCCTTTCCTCATAATATTGATTCTATCTGACATAGMACTGGTTGTCCCATGAGCCCAGCAGGAACCACAATACTGAGGAATGTGCTGATTTCTTGTAGTACTAGCAAAGTTGACGCCATTCATRTTTCTCCAGTCATAGGATTCTGGAAGTTTGCTCATGTCCAAGTATTCATGTGGTCTTTTGGTTTTTCTAAATAAAAAAATATACAAACACAATGTATTATCATGCAAACCGTATTTTCCTGTGAACGCATTCTTTAAAAAAATGGTCATGTGATTGTGCAACACGCTTTGCTTAAGCGCGGGCCTGTAACAAAGGGAATTTCTTAAAGGATCACGAGCTTGCTTTCGATTTTTTTCACCATTATTGTTCATTTTATAGTAAGGTCGGGGAATACGGGAAAATAATGTGTATATGAAACAACTAAGCAATATTAACAGGAAACTATCCAAAGTGTCTTTCAAATTAAAAGATATTCAGATACCCTTTATTCCAAAAAAAAWTTTTGAAAAAGTTTTTTAAAAAACATTAATTTTGCGAGCTGAAAGACTCTCAAAGCTATGTAAACGCAAAGTTGATTGAAATACTTATAAATGAATGACGGAACTCGCGAGAAATATAAATATAATTCGAAGACACGGAAATGCAAGCACAACAACTTTCGATTCTTACATAACTTCTTTGATGTCTTTGTCATACGATGGCTTGTAGCAAGGCTCGTTCCGGTAGGATGGCTTGTTAGGAACACCATAGCACACACCAACCAACAATAAAAGACCAAGAAATAGCTTCATCTCGAATAAGACTTCAAAAATTCCTGATACGATCCTTATTATTTCAATGGAGAATAACTTTTACATTTCAAAAAAGCTGAACATCATGAAAGTCACGAGGAATGACAATGTAGCCAATCAGAATGCCCAGAGCTCYCACGYACTGATTTCCGCTGAATGCAAGACGTGCAGGCTCTTTACGAGGATTTCTCGGCGATTTCGCGCGCGATGATTGGTCGAAAATACCTTGAGCACATGCGCCTTCAAGCGCGCGCGCTTTCTTCATTTTGCGAAAAAATACCACAAAACAATTCAATCAATATAAATGTGACAGATTTTATTATAGATATTATGTGGAAAACTTTAAATACACATATAAAACATTGCTGTACAATTATTACTAAAACTTCTTTTTACAAAAAAAGCTAAAGAGTATTGAATTTTATATTTTTCCTTATACATTTTAGCACTTTCACAAATCTCTTTTGTGCGTTCTCCCCCTCCTCCCATTCCCCTCTCACTATACCCCTGTTACAGTAGATTTTTCTTCATATTTTTAGAAGTAACTCAAAAGCAATTTAACTGTACAACAGCAATACATTTAACCTCGTGTTTTAACTACTCTACATCTTGTTTCAAAATTCTAAAAACTAAATGATGTATAATCAAGCATTCCCATCATCCACAGGGGCAGTAGAGCCAGGGGGCAGTGGCCCCACCACAAMATTTTTGGGGCAGGGCCTGGCTCCTCCACATAACAGCTTGAAACATTCAATAATTCATTTTTTTGTCATAGTTAATTGCATTCACAAAAGTTGATGTGACGTCATCACTATAAGTCTATGATTGTGCCCCCCAAGTCAATTTTGGCTCCGCCGCCCCTGATAGAAATTATGGGTTGATATTTCTATTCAATTAAACAATGGGTACTGCAAAGCTACAATCGCTCTCAACGCCCAGGTTATACCTATTTCCCTCCCCATTGTTATATTTGCTTGTTACAATTCTCAGGTAACCATTTTCTCCCCAAGGAGCYCCCCAYGAGTTCCTAACAATCCAGTATTCCACTCCTTTCTCTACTCCCCAGCCTACAACTGAAATAGTGTGGTTATCYTCTGACAGRAGATGGTACTCTTTGTAAACCCCTCCAGTGTATTTTTCAAGGCGTGARGTWGCCATRATTCCACATGTAATTGGTCCACGGGCAWATATTTCTGCCATCATCTTTTCMCGACCTGCCACCTTTCCTAATATCATTGAAATAATGTAAATATTATCAGTTTTATAATTCAGCACATTGTTCAYTGGCAGG